GGAAAAACTAACGTGTTATCGAAATAATTGCAACAAAAGAATCAAAACATAGGAAATGTTGTGGATCTTGTCAAGGCAGTCAAGGCCGATTTGGAAAGTTATCGGAATGATTATGGTTGGGGTTTGTTAGTTGAAAAAGTGACTGCATTTTGTTCAAGTCATGGTATTGATGTGCCTAATATGAAAGATGTAAAGCAAGGCAGAGTGAAAATACAAAAGACAGTTGATGGTAGCCCGAAAACTTACTACCATTATTTTCATGCTGACATATTTCTTGAGGTAATTTTTGGACTTTTATTTCTTATTTAAGTGTATTTCAATTTATTTGTTTTACTACACTATTTCATTATTTTTTAAAATATAATGTTAGGTTATTGATCGCCTTATGCAAGAGATGAATAATCGTTTTACTGAGTCAAGCTCGAAGCTGCTGATGTGCATAGCGTCCTTAAGTCCTAAAGACTCATTCTCCCTTTTTGATTTGAAGCGGTTATTTCGTCTTGCTGAATTATACCCAGATGATTTTAGCTCAAGAGAAAAACATGAACTAAATGAACAACTTAGGTTGTTTCTTACATTTGTCAAATCATCTCCACGGTTCTCAAGTCTTCAAATTATTGGAGATTTGGCAAAAAGAATGGTTGAAACTGAATGACACACAACTTACAGGTTAGTGTACCGACTCATTCAGTTGGCATTGGTCTTACCTGTTACAACAACCACAGTTGAAAGATCTTTCTCCACAATGAAGTTTATCAAGAATGATTTGCGCAACAAGATTGGAGGAGAATTCTTGACAAATAGCTTGATGTGTTGTTACATTGAGAAAAATATTTTTGTTAAAGTTGAGAATGAAGAAATTATGAGGCGATTTCAGAGTATGGCACCTCGAAGATATAGATTGCCATCGTCCAATTATTCTCCTTCATTCGACGCTTCAGTTGCTAATCAAAATTAAGGTACTATTTAATTAGTTGTTTTTTTAAATTTTATAGTTTTTGTTTAATGCTATATTTGTGATATATATATAATTTCTTTGTTAATGAGCCCCTGCAAATCACGAGTCATGATTCCGCCACTGCATGGGATGACGTGGAAGTACGGTAAAGGAGAAAAGTGTTATTGATGAGAGTGGCTGGCGGCGGTTGGTGAACACGGGTGGTGAACTAGCCGGAGAGATGTGAGCTGACAAGCAAAGAAGTGGAAGAAGGACGTTGCAAGCAGAGAAGGAAGGGAATGGGTAGAAACTAGAAAGAAAGGAAGGAAGAAAGAAAAACAAAAAAAAAACAAATAATTAATGCTACATGAATGTTCATCACAATGATTACCCGCAATACACATAACCGACCAGCTAAAACGCATAAGGTGAGTGTCACGATACGTCACAAATAAATGAGAGAACAACACCAACAATTAGTTCAATTCATTATCTCATCATTTATTAATTATATTTAAATTATTCCATTGTGCAAGTAAAAGTTAGTGTTTTTTTATAATTGGAGGGTTAGATCGAATGCTTTTAAGACTCAATTGAATTTTTGAATATACTATGAAGACTTATTTAACAATTTTCAAAAGTTGATTTTTTTATCATCAAATCCGACTAATATATTAACTCAAAATAATGTTCATCACATGGCTGATAATACAATCAAAGAAAAGGAAGTAAGCAAAGCGATAAAAAGTCTTATACCTGTCGTCCGCCCTCGAACCAGATTAAGAATATATCACCTCTGTAGAAACAATAATATTCACTGATCCTGTAATGGGCTTAACTCAGTCAATGACTAGCAAACCAGACGACTTCTCATCACCTAACTTAAAATCTAGAAACTAACTCTCTGCTAGGAAATTAGAAAATCTCATCACTTGTTTAATGCTTTATTCGTGATATATATAATTTCTTTGTTAATGAACCCCTGCAAGTCACGAGTCCTGGTTCCACCACTGGTCGAACCAGAGAAAGATAAGCAAAATTAGCCATTCAAAACTTTCTCAAAAGAGATAAGAATAATTTTTGTGAAATTCCAAAAAAGTTAGTGAGAATATTTTTTTGAGACAGAGTAATGTCTAGATTCAACAAATACTACTAGCTAGACGAACTTTTGTATAAAGTAATTGACCTTAATAGGATTAAAACATTAAGGAAGTTCCAAAATAAGAGTACTTAATGATTTATTTCCTATATAGGAGTTTATTGTTGACCGGCCCGTTTCTTTTCCCAATTATACCCCTCTTTTCAAGTAACCTAAATTAATTATATTTATCAATTGGTTTTCCTTCTGTCAGGCATCTTCCGTCTCCATCACACTTTTTTCTCTCTTTTCTTTCCCCTGCCTTCTCCCATCTCCTCTCGTTTCTCCTCTGTCACTCACTCATCCATTTAACCATCTCTGTTGGACTGTCGGTGGATTACAAAGGTTTGGGCGATGAATTTCTCCGTCGAACTCCGGCTATCAGCGTACAACGGGGCAAACACACGTAAGTTTGATTTCCTCCTCCTCCTTCTCCTCCTCCTCCTCCTCCTCCTTCTCCTCCTTCTCATCTTCTTCTTCTCCATTATTTTTTTTCTCCTTTGCGCAGCTGCACCTTTTGGAGCGTAAACCTTCTTTCTTTCATTACAACAAAATTTTGAATTGATATTTAAGTGAATGTTCTTTTCCCTTTCGAGATCTGAATTTCTCAAGCTTCAATCTCCCTTTTTCTTTACTTGGTCTTTCAATTTTTCTCACCTTTTATTCCTTTGACTCTTTATTTTATCTTTCTATTTTTTTTTTCATTTCAAAAATGGCAAAATTATTTTTAAAATGCCGTGGTTTTCAATATGTTTCGCAAATATTGCCATTTTACATTTATGAAGTGTTTTTCAATATGTTTGGCAAATGTCATTTTACATTTATGAAGTCGACATTAATTTCGTAAAGATGGCAATTACACAGATATGTTAAGCAAATAATGTCATGTCTTACAAATATTAATTTCATGTATTTTTTACAAAATGACATTATGCTTTTAAAATTTCAGATCCAAATTCAATAAATTTAAAATTTTAGAGTAAAAAAATTAAAAAAAAAATATCAGATTGTCATTCTACAACATTCTTAATTTTCAGATCTGAGGCTAGAGGATGGAGATGGCGGCGTCGGAATTGTAGATGGCCGGTGGTGACCCTGGAACAAGGTAGCGGCGAAGATGGTGGTGGCGGCGGCGTCAAGCGACAGCGGAGACCGGCGGCGTCTGACGACGGTGAAGACTGGCGGTGTCCAGCGACGGCAGAGATTGGCGGCGTCCGACGGCAACAACGTTCGTCATCTGGCAGCGGCGTCAAGTGACGGTGTAGGGCGGTGGTTAGGGGCGGCGGTTACTGGTGTAGGTACTGTCCCTAGATGGTGCCAGAGACAACTTGTGATTGGGAAAGGGAAAATACGTTGTTGACTTGTTGTTTAATGCATTAATTAGTTTATTATTCTATTTTGTATTTTTACTAAATAAGTTTGACTATTCATTAAGGGCATTTATGTCTCTTACTTATAATTTCCTTATGTATGACAAACTACATTATTAGATAGGAGTCCTACTTTTGCATATTTGATAAGTTTTACTCCTAAATGGGAATTTTCTCTTTTGTATACCAGTTTCAAGTTTTACTCGATACATCTTAAGATTTTGTTATGTATTGTTTGATAGTTAGAGGCAATCTTTTAAGAGGAAACCCCTCAAAGTCGGTCAGTATTCAGGTCAAAGACGCAATTAGCGTCGTATGATCTTAAATTGGCTATGCTAAGCTATTGTATAATTACGACACAATCAAAATTGGAACGTAACTCTTCGAATTCATTTATCAAGATTGCAATCTTTAAATTCCGTCCTATGATTTAGAGACGTTTGATAACTCTAAAATATAATGAATCAACTAAATATGCTGAAATTTTTTATTTATGGAAAAATTATACTACCCTCATTTCTTAAAAGTTGTAACAAATTTACTTTCACATTTGCCAACACACAACTTCGACTGTCGTTATATTTAATTACGTATTAGTAAATATTAAAAAGTTAATATTTTAAAATTTTACATTATAGAAATTGAGAAATTACCCTAAGTAGGACTAAAAACGTTTATATATTCCAAAATAGAACTATCACATTTTTATTCCCAAAAAAGGACTAATTACTGCCATGTTTTGGCAGTACTACACTTTAAATATGACAGTATTTTCCAAACATGGCAGTAATTACTCCTATTTTGGGAATAAAAACATGACAGTCCTATTTAGGAATTTTCAAACTTTTGTACTCCTATTTCGGGAATTTTTCCATAGAAATTTAATAATATTTTATACATAATAGTTTGATTGTATATATTGTTAGAAAATCATTGTCAAAGTAAGGTGTGTGAATAGTGGATAAATCCCAAGGTTGAAACTTTTAAAGAACGGATGAAATTTCAAATACTACTACCTCCGTCCCACTCATATTGGGACGAAAGGGGGTGACACGGTTATTAAGAAAAGTGAGTTTATGTGGTTGATATGAATTGATAAAGTAAGAATAAAGTAAGAAAAATTTAGTGCCACAAAACTTTATTAAATTTAGTATGAGACAATTTTAGTGGGATTATTCGAAAATGTAAAATTAGACAATATTAGCGGGACGGAGGGAGTAGTACTTATTATTAACAAAATAAAGAAATACTCCGTACTACGTATTATATGAAAAATAGCTAAAATGGTTACAAAAGTAACTCCAATTTTACTCTATTTTGATCATTACATTATTTTAGCGTGCAACATCAAAAGTTACCATGTTTGGTGAAAAACGGGGTTACCAAACGGGATTTTAAAATAACGGCATAACGTAATTTGAAATGCATCCAGATAAATTTTGTGTTGTGATTGTATCTCATAAATGTTTGATATATCCATAGATGCAATGTGTATTTTAGTACTTTGTATTGTTTGTGTTGATATGAGACTGAAAGAAGTTTTGATGAAAGCATCCTAATACATTAATCCTTGTTAATATGATCTTTTTCTAAACTATTGTACCCATTCCAATTACATGTATATGTGTCTACATTGAGCCCAAATTAGAATTATGTATGATCTACGGAGAACAAATCATGTAATAAAGTAGAAAACCCTAAATTAAAGCTTAGAGTAATGAAGCACGTGATGCATGGCTGCTCCAATTCTTGGCATAGGATCGAGAACATTTGTACTAAAATGCCTTGGCGACCTTTAAGAATAACTTATCAAATCAAAGCAGAAGGGGTAAAGCTAGCAATGCCCATCTGCAGCCACCCAGAAGCTGACGATCCTCCATCTAATTTCTTATCTTTCAGCTTCGGTGAATTCTCTTCACCACAATGGTTCTGACTGGGGTTAGCGGTATTAGTACTACTGCTGACCCCTTTTTCCCATAGATCCAAATAGCCTGATCTTGTGGCTGTCTCCTTTTCAAAGGATGATTTTGTTGGAACGTTGGTAATAGTAGGTGCAATGTTGAGGTCCAACGACGACGACGGCCCGTGTGAAGTATAACCCGATGGGAACGAAGGATTCTTGAAGATCAATGGCGGCGATTGCTTTTTGTCATATGCCGCGATTTCTTGGAAGCTTTGTAAGACTGTTGTGTTTGCTGCTGCTAGCCAGTGACACCTTTTGTGGCCACCCAATGCCTGCCCAGAGGAGAAGATCCGGTGGCAGATGGAACACTCGTGCACCCTTGAGCGCTTCCGGGAGACTGTGGTAGAGGCCGAGGGTGGTGGGGAGGGGAGAGAATAATCACTATCCAAGAATTCGTCGGGGCAATAATTGCCGGTGTCATCGTTTTTGTTATTGTTGTTGTCGTTGTTGAGGTGGTCGAGCTTGGCAGCGTAGCAACCTTTAAAAAAATGTTGCAAATATGAGTAAACATAAATAAGTATGCATGGACAACTAGCTAGGTATATCATTATTCTATGGTAAAACTATCATTTATTTAGTCCAAAAAATGATTTGAACAATGTAATAATATTTCTTTTAGATAGGAACTGTTCACAGTTTTATAATCAAACAATGATGCTTCATTTCAAAAATAGAATATGTTCCGTAGTATGTTTTAATATTGTGTTACAGAATATCTGAGGCCATGCACAATACCTTTAACCTTCTTGTGACTCGCTCTATGTCCGCCCAATGCTTGGTGGGAGTTGAACACTTTATTGCATGCCTTACATGGGAACAAGCCCCTATTATTGTTATTGTTTATGTCCTCTTCCTTGACCTTTTTCCCCTGGTGATCGTTTATATCATCTTGAGACGGCGTGAATTGGAATGACCCATTGGATGATAACATCACGAGGCAATCAGCTAGATCCATATCTTCCTTTGATACACAATATTGATGACTACGAAGAGGAGGTGATGATGAAAATGGTGTGATGCTCCCGGTTGGCATGACACCCTTATCATCGTCAATGTCATCGTCATCACCTCTGTATCCTCTACTTTTAGTGACGAAACGGTTTGCGATAGTGCGTAAGAAGTACGAGTGCTTTTGTCCTTCGACATTTGATTGCTTGTTATCCATGTGGTCGTGATAATCACCCTGACTCTTGTCTGCTTGATCTCCCACCGTGTGAGAACGCATGTGCCCACCGAGGGCTCCTGCGCAATTAAACCCTCGATTGCACACCCGACAATAGTGTGTCATTGGACCCGAGGTGGACGATGACAATTCGGGACAATTCTCTACTACCATCACCATTATTATACTATTCTTTGTATTAAACTCGTTTGTTTTGAAGTTTGTGTTGATGAGTTGAATGTTGTGTATGTATGGGGAGATTATGATATCATATTTATAGAGGTAGTCAGTTAGTGAGTTAGAGGTGTGAGAGCGTGCAAAATGAGTTTTTGTAGTCCTAATTTTTAGTAGACGTTTGCTGATTGTGGATGGGAGGGTGGGAGTGAGAGAGAGAGAGAGTTGAGTGGAATTTAAGAGAAAATGAAAAAATTAATGGAGTGAGAGTGGAGTGTATGACAAATGTGAGGGTTACATGGGAGTGATGGTTGACAGACTATTTCCACGCTCATGCATGGTAGTGTTTTCAGTCAATTTTACCCACACAACTAATAAGCTCTTCTTGTTTATTGGCACATGTCGAAGCAAATTGGCTGCTTGGCAATTTGGACCATTTGGACCATTTGATGTATTCATGTGATTCTCACGAATACTACAATGATGTTATAAAAATAATCCGTATTATGTAAAAGAAATTACTTGAAATACGATTAAAACATGTGCAAAGTGCACAAATAGAGCAACTTATGTTTTATTTCTCAAATATGACTTATTGGATCTTATTTATTTATTTATATATATTTAATAACGTTTTTCTACATATATACTATATTGTCATTTTTAGAAGAATTTAGTCAATTTAAGGTTAGTTTTTCTTTAGGTTGAAAGTATGACTAATGTTAATTTGAAAAGAATGCACTTAATAATAGAATTAAAATACAATGCAAGTGCAACATTAAAATAGGACCATGTACCACTTGATATGAGTACATAAACACGTTGACTTTCAATTCTTCCTAAAAGTTGAATCTCCAACCACAAGGCCCTCCACGTCCCAACCCAACAAGTCATATGGGAGAGAGGATGTAAATAATGGTGACTCAGTCAACCCAATGGTGGTAGACCTTATATCCATGCACACCAAAGATCTAACTCAACACACATGAGTTGTAACCTCCACACGATCGTTCCCGATTTCGAACTTTGATCATTCCGCCAATTTTCCCTCTACTCAAACATGCACTTTCAATCTAACGAGCAATGTCACTCAGAACAAGAATATTATCATTATGACATTATTATATTGTCATTATGAAAGCCAAATAAGTAGCATAAAAAATAAATCGCCACCATCAAGAAAAATGTCATCTTCAGTGAGGCGATTTTAACTCTTCTTGTGGAGGACAGGCTAGGGTGGAAAACCAAAGTCATTTTAATAAGAGTACTTGTGAATAAAATCACCCTTGATGATTAGGTGTATTTCACACATTAATTTATAGAGAAGGTATATACAAGTATAAGGAAAGTAATTAATACTACTTCCGCGCGTTCCTTTTTATTATATTTAATCATCTTTGACAATTCCCGTCAAAGATGGTAACATTTGACCAATTATTTTAACCAATATATTTATGTATAATATAATAATTTTGAACTTTTATGATACTACCTCCGTCCCGCTATGATTATCCCATTTTACCTTATCGGTCCGTCCCACTAAGATTGTCTCGTACCAAATTTGGTAAAGTTTGTGTGGCTCTAAATCATTCTTACTTTATTTTTACTTTATCAATTCAATATCAACCACATAAACCACTTCTTATTAATTTGCGTGTAACTCTCTCTTGTCCCATTGTTAGCGGGATGAAGGGAGTAGTGTTTATGACAAAGAACATTTTGATATCATTTTCATATATCAATACTTATGTGTATTAATATATAATCAGTCAAAGTTGGACACTATTGACTCGAAAAGTCAAATTTGGCTAAATAAAATTGACAAAGGGAATAAAAAATAATACAGGATATGGACATCGCTATAAATACAATAGGTGTATCAAAATTACTTCCTAACAACCCCATCAAACTGAGGGTGGGATGACAAGCAACACGAAGCTTAGAATGAATAAACTCAAATTGAGGCTAGGAGAGCCCTTTTGTGAAGATGTTAGCTAATTGCAAAGTGGAAGGAACAAATTGGACCTTGAGTTTGCCTGAAGAAACCAATTCATCAATAAAATGACAATCAATATCAAGGGTGTTTTACCGAAATACGGGAAAGAGGGGTTGGGGTTGCCAAAATACGGGGATTTTTCTAGGTTTTACCAAAAAACGGGAGTCGGAACTGGGTGTTCCGACTAGAGGTAGGGTTTCCAAAAATAGACAAAATTACCAATTTACGGGAGTTTTGGGACTGACAAGCCAAAATACGGGACTTCGGTTTAGGTTACCATTTTACGGGAGTCGGATTCTCCAATTCCGACAGGAGGAAAAGCTTTAAAAAGTAAAAATAAAACCTAGTCGGAATTGTGTAATCCGACTAGGGGTGTTCGAATTTTTTTAACATTTCCATTATTTGTTTTATCCGAAGGAATTAAAAAAAACAAAAAAAAAACAATTTAAAAAAAAACAAAAAAGACAAAATTTCCATTATTTTTTTAACATTTCCATTATTCTCAAAATTTTTTTATTGTTTGCTTTGATTTGTGTTCACTCATTTTACCAAATTAAACGGAATATTGTCCCATTCAAACTCTTGAGTGTATATTTAAAAAAATTAATATATTTTGGTTGAAATAAAATGAAAAAAAATACAAATTTTTCCATTATTGTAATCCTAAGCAATCAAAAAATAAAAAATATAAAAATAAAAAAACAAAAGCAAAACTCTCGGAAAGCCCACATCCGACTAGCAGTCTATTTTATTTTCGGAAAAAGCAATCTATTTTGTTTTATTTTAAGAAATTTAATAAATTAAATTTTATAAATTAAATTTTATTTTAAAAAATTTATATTCGAGATAAATTTTATTTTATGTAACCCATAACTTTAGAATTATTTATTAGATAAAACTGATAATCAGATAAAATTTAATCAGATAAGTTCAATCAGATAAAATGAATCAGATAAATTTTTATCATATATAATTCAATCAAAATTCAATATATTTTGTCCAAACATATCTGTACAAAAATAAAGTGACCCAAAATCCAATACTTTATGTGTCGGATCATAAAACTTTCAATTTGACCCAATTAGGACACAATCATTTGAATTTTATGCAATCAGTCTATATCATTAACACGAGTTGTGAAATTTACCGCGAGTTTCTTAATATATAGATGAAAATTTAATATTAACACTTGTGATTCACTTTTTTTAGACCCAGATCATAAAAATCCCAATTCGACCTGATAAGGATACAATCTTCGTTCTGAAATGCAATTAGCATATATCATGAACACGAATTGTGAAATTGACCACGAGTTACTTAATATATAGATGAATTTTTAATATTCACACTTGTGATTCACATTTTTTAGGATACAATCATTTGAAATGTAATCAGCATATATCATGAACACGAATTGCAAAATTGACAATGGTTTACTTAACATATAAGTGGAATTTTAATATCCATACTTGTGATTCACATTTTTTAGACCTGGATCATAAACCTCCAATTTGACCCAATAAGGGCACAATCATTCGAATTTTATGCAATAAGCCTATATCATGAACACGAGTTGTGAAATTGACCACGAGTTCCTTAATATATAGATGACAATTTAATATTAACACTTGTGATTCACATTTTTTAGACCCGGATCATAAAAACCGTAATTCAACCCAGTAGGGATACAATCATTTGAAATGTTATCAGCCTATATCATGAACACGAGTTGTAAAATTGACAATGATTTACTGAACAAATATATGGAATTTTAATATTCATACTTGTTACCCCCTCCGGTCCTTATTAAACTTTACACTTTTACTTCACATATATTAAGGAAATAAATTTGACTTTACTGTACAGTACACTGTTTGGCACTGTTTGACACTGTTTGACACTGTTTGACACTGTTTGGTGTAGATTTGTTTGCCAAATAAAGAAAATAAGGAAGTGTAAAGTTTAATACGGGACTGCTCAAAGTGTAAAGTTTGACAAAGTTTAATCACCTAAATCTAACTTCCACCTACCAATTCAATTCATTTTTTATGGCTTAAGATTTTGATCAGATAAATATAATCAAATAAAATTTAATCAGAAAAAATATAATCAGATAAAATTTTATTAGATAAAAAATATAATCAAATAAAATTTAACACTTGTGATTCACATTTTTTAGACCCCAATTCGACCTGGTAAGGTTACAATCTTCTGAAATGCAATTAGCATATATCATGAACACGAATTGTGAAATTGACCACGATTTACTTAATATATAGATGAAATTTTAATATGCACACTTGTGATTCACATTTTTTAGCCTTGGATCATAAAAACCCCTATTCGACCCAGTAGGGATACAATCATTTGAAATGTAATCAGCCTATATCATGAACACGAGTTGTAAAATTGACAATGATTTACTTAACATATAGATGGAATTTTAAAATTATTAATTTAACATTTTCGATTAATTAAACTCAGATTTAACTCAAATTATTAATTATTAATTTCTAATTTCCCCTTATCGGATTTACCAATTCTGACATGATTTTTTTATTATTATTTATTGATTTTTTTTCGTTGTAATTCATTCGCAATATATAAAACTTCTAAAAAATTTCCTCTCGTCGGAATTGGGACTTCCGACAGGAGTAAAACCAATTTTTTATTTTGTTTAAAAATCCCTATATCGAATTTAAGTTGGGATTTACTATTTCCGGATTAATATCAAAAAATAATATTAAGCAATCAAAAAAATTTAAAAAACAAAATTCATAATTTTCATTTTAAAAAATATGCCAAGAATTTAAAACAACTTTTAATTCGGAATTTAGAATAAGGAATTAACAATACTTTTAAAAAACTATTAAAATCAAAACTTTAACAATAAGGAATTAACAAGGAGTTAAAAAAACAAAAAAAAAATCCTGGTCAGAAGTCACACATCCGACCGGAGGGAGAGGTGTTTTTTTTAAACCCTTCCTCTGGTCGGAACACCCAATTCCGACTCCCGCTTTTTGGGAAAACCTAGTTTTTTCCCCGTTTTTTGGCAATAGATG